TTGGGAACGCGCCGAAAACGCGAGGAGCTAAGAGAACTTCGTCGGAGAAAAATCCATTGGGATTCGATTTGCTTTCTTTCATCGCTCCTAAGGCTACTGCCGATAGTGAAATCCGCAAATGGAAGATACGCCTCAAGGTGCGCCTGCAGCAGTGCTCCCATTGCAGGAATTCGCGCACCCGAGTAACGAGAATCTTACACGCGGAGAAATTTCCTTGGCAGTCTCGGTCGTCTTAAATAACCGAAGCTCACCGAGGCTCCCAAAGGAAGCCTTAACGTTTCGCTTGAGCGCGCTCAGGATCGTTTCGTATTTCTTATCATCGCTCATATATATTTAACACTTCAATAATGGAACGATAACAAGCTGTAATGTATCGTTTTTCTTTTTACTTCGTATTAATCGAAGCTGCATAAAAAGCTCTAACTGTTAAGGTATTGTAGACGCAGAACGCATGATGAATTTTGAATGACGTGAAATTTTGTAAAAACTACATTTTATGCACTTAACGTAATGCAAGAGACGGAAGAACACTAAGAGGTACTTTATTATTTACGATCAACTGGAAAGATAAAGGAGGTTGAACAGCATTCGCGCTGCGGAACGTGCTCCGACGAGGAAAAGTCGATAAGCAGAGAATACGGCGAGTTGTAACACAAAACTTTTTTGCCTTTCAAAAGCTGCCGACGTATCCGCAGCCAGCGCTTTCCTAGTCCGCCACTAACAGCGGAAGTAGCGAGGGAAAAAGCGAGACGGGGTATGAAAAAGGGAGGGTTACGGTTACCCCGTTGAAAACGGGAGATAAGTAAATAGGACGCAGTATAAAAAAAAAAGAAGAAGAGAAAAGGATAAAATCGGCGGAATGGTCTGTTTTAGACAGCGCGTCTCTTTCTTTCTGAGCTTTTTATTTCCTCCGTCATGAGCGTTTCTTTCCTCGCGTGTTTATATACTCTCGGCGCGGAAAACGAGTTCGGATAATCAAAAAAAGGAGCAGAAGAAAATTGAGACAATTTCTGGGCGAAGTTATTTCTCTAAGAAACTGCCGGCCGCGGTTGTCAACCACGTACCGACTGGTTGGTTCGTTGGCTGACCGTTTCTGCTCTGCTTGTGACTTTCATCTTGATAAAGAATTACATCGAGGAAAAAAATGCAATGCCATATCGATCTGCACAACGAAACCTACATATAAATCTTAGTGGGAGCATTCAAGCAATAATTTTAATTATTGCAAAATAAGGTAACTTTGACCCAAAATCGGAGCAACTGGCTTAAATTTTAATAATGCTCAGACCAACGTCTTAAACGTCTTATATTTTGATTTTGAATATGTGTGCTGTTTAAGGAATTTTTTAATTTGAGCCGTAAAGAGTTACTCCGATGAACTAAAATAACCCCATTTTACGATATCGATGTGAATAACTCAAACAATATGCAATGTCTAGAAAATGTCTTTATATCGAATTACAATTTGAAATATTACCGATGAGAATAAATCTGATTAAATAAGAGGAATCCTGTTTTTCTCTATAATACATATCTTTTTATTATAGACATGTCCCAAAAGGCGTCTTTATGATCTCTTTGCAACGTCTTTTATAATAGACGTGCACGCTGTCTCTGGATATGAATCACAATTTTCCTTCTAAAATAATTCCTAACAGAATCGAGCTATTTAATTCTTCTTTGCGAAATGAATCCCGATTTTACTTCCTTGATCTTCTCCATATTTGATTTTGAGAATAACCTAATTTCCTGCACCTTCAGCGGGTTAACCGCTATGGGATAAGGGAGGAGAATCACGGAAATAAGGGGCGCCCAAACGGGAGTGCGAATTGGCGAAAGAGATGGAAGGGAAGTGGTAACAGTCGGTGCTTCTTCTTCTGCTCCAGTAATCAAATCTCTTGACTCACTGGGTTCAAATTAAAATGACTACGATCTAACGAGATATCACTGCAGATTGCGCCGGAGAATTCAGCGTAGAATAGAGACGCAGGAACGATAGTATCATTCCAGTGGAATCCCTTTTTGTCATAAAGTTAATAAAAAGAAATAAAGCATATAGTATATCCAATGCGACACCGCGCATAATCGCCGCAGTGTATGCATCGCCGCAGTGTGATCAATTAAAAATGAATGGAGCTTATACGACTGCAAGCCTGACGCGTTAAATTAACGTGTGCGAGTGTGTTCGATCGCAAGATTGGAGTACGCGGCTTAACACGTGGAATCAATATACGCGGATAACGATCAACCTCGTAACGCACACGCAAACAACAAATTACACGATGCCGGTAATAATGGCGATATTTATGCTGCATCGGTCAATCGTTGCAATAGTCGATGCGATGTTAACTTTCGAAATTACACGCGTACGCGATGCATCAACGAGGCATCCTTCATATTACGGCTGCTTTTGGTATTTGGAACTCAAATGTCGAGTTCCATCATAACGGATCATACCGGATGTGACGATGTAAAACATGCGCAACTCATTCACTTTCACGACATGTATATTGTTCCGTTTAATTTTTTGACGTTCGATAGATCTGTTTTATTCGTAATGGATTTATTTGCGATGAAGTGCTCAATTTCAATCGGCGTATTCTCTGCCGAGCATTGTTTGCGCGGTATCTTTTTCAATTTCAAATGCCTCCCACATAAGCTCGAATAAAGTCAGCATATAAATCAGTACATGCTACAAATTTACGAATCCGACTCAATCATCGATGAATAATATTCTTGCATCGGATTAATTGTCGAATTAATGAAGCGAAACGCTCATTTATATTCAGATGAAGAGTATACAGACGTTGTGTGCGATGCAGAATGCAATCTGCTGCACAAATTAACACACGCGCATACACACACGTACACGCACAATACACAGACGTGCCTATACGCGCCGAAACTCTTGACATCTCTCTCACGAAGTGGATTGTGGCGATGACTTCATGATTAATGAGATTAGGTATGAAATCGACATTCATCGAGGGCAGGAAGCGTCGACGATCGTCCCCACTGCAATCGGCGGTGCGAATCAGAAAGAGTTAGTAGCATGGGCATGTGTGTCTGTCCGTCGATCCAAACCGAAGCACGTTGTCTAATATGTGATACCACACACGCACAAGTATATACACATCTATATACATATCTATATATATATTTATATGTTTAAATATTTCCTTTGTGTGCCAACGTATATGTTTATATGTATTGTGTACGTAATACGTATATCTCCATATACGTGCATTATTATATGATAATATATGTGATCCAAGCCGAGCTTCTGCACGCTTTTATGATGGCTGCCTACAATGGATATCAAGTGTCCAAATCGGATGGATGTTCAGCCTTTGCATGCGTCTTCTCACACACAAAGTATAATATAATTATGTGTAACTTTGATTTTGCGGAAGGAAGATCTTCCACATCTCTGTACTTGTCTACTTTGTTAATGTATTATTCGTTTGTGGACGTACAGCTTTCGTGTTTAAAAATTGAAATTCGCTGCAAGTCTCTTTCACCCTCCGGGAATAAAGTCGATTGTTTTAAATCTGAAAAGTTGTACAAAAAGTACCGAGCGATTTAATAATGGAGAAGATACAATGGGAAAGCATCAGCTCTTCTCAATTCCTGGAATATTTTGAGATAAAAGCCCTGCGGGACTCGCTACCTGTTTTCAAACTACCTGTTTTTAATTAAATTCTCACATAAAACTGAGTCATATTTATTCATTCCGTCGACGCGCACGTGCGAATAGATGAATACGTAATGTCCACAAAAAGATTTTCAACCAAATAGTCTGCTGCCTATTAACCATAAGCGCTAAAAGAATTGATTTGACGAAATATTGAAACAATTCGTAGATTCGTACATTGTCGTGTTCGTGCACAAAAAGAACGAGTTTTTATTTCTTTCTAAATAATGGGCTTTTTATAATAAGCTGTTACCTCAGTTTTTAAATTTTAAATCATCAGATATTAACCTTTTACAGTTGAATGTGAGAAGAATAATCAATTATGATTGTGGTTAATTTCTTACAGTTTAAGATTTAAAGCTTTATAGATAACGATTTATTGTAGAAAGTATATAAGATTTAATGATTAAAATAAATTAATAAAAATATGATCTTTACGTTGTCGTTCTTATCAGTCGCTGTCAAAATAGAACAGCTTATCTATCAATGATACGACGTGGATCGTATCTATAAGTAATAAACGCGAAACCGTCGGAACGTAAATGCGGGCTAACGTCAAGGCAGGATATGTATAAAATACGCATACACTGCCAAATCAGAATCGGGACAGGATAGTAAAATTTTTATCGCTTCGGGGAGTGCGGTGATGAACACATGACTTCGATTTCGAGACTCGTAACCACACATTTGTGGTCGATCGTCCAGCTGCCCTGTCAGCTCGGATGGATCTATCGAACGATGCGATGAACCCGCAGGCTAGATTTTAATTCCAGCTGATTTGTCGGTAAGGCGGTGCTATTTAAGTCAGCCTTTTTCGTATGGATTTCTTCAAATCCTGCATAGAGTCGCGAATTCAAAATCCCACGCCGCGCTTTTATTTCCCACTCGCTTTATTCGCGATTGCACGAAGAAAAATCGTACGCAAGAATTGTTCGATGTACGTCATTCCGTTGCGACGCATTCGTGCGGTTAAAAGTGGAATACGGGCTCACAAAGTGGAATCACGAAGCATTTTTTTTTTTTTTCATCGGCGCGGTGCGAACATATGTTCTGTCGGATATCCGGTTCTGTTAGCTTTATTGGATTAACCCTCGCATTCGCGTTCTTGGATACTGGCCAGCTGGCAAACTCCGGTAATGTTTTCATTTGACGGTATTGTCCTGTTGTAATCGAATTATGTACACCGCAAGATCAGAAATTTACGCTCTCCAGAATTAAATCTTTCGCCCCCAGACCATCCCGTCGCAAGATTAGGCATTTCAGCTCGATGGACAGTTTTCTAATTCTGTTTTTCTCCCGTCTTTAGTGATCAGCGCTCAGGGATTAATCGCCAAAGATAAGAGCGGCACATCCGACCCCTACGTGACGGTCCAAGTTGGTAAAGTAAAGAAACGCACGAGGACCATGCCGCGAGAATTGAATCCAGTTTGGCACGAAAAGTTCTACTTGTAAGTAATTTTGATAAGTTTCTCTACTACACCAACGGAATGCGTAATTCTCTCCGATTCAATTTTGACTATGAATTCTCTGCCGTTTTCACAAGCGATGACGTCAATTGTTGCGTTTACTTACACACGTTTGCGTTTATACGTTACATGTTTACTTATTCACATGCAGAAAAATGTAAAATATATGTGCTCTAGAATTTTAGTAAATTTTACGAAATTTTCGGATCCATATAGGAACATAAGCGTCCACTTATACGTAAAATTTACTTTTCTCTTGAGATGAAAATCGTTACTTTTACTGTTACTTTCTATAATAACAATTTAGCAAAGACGCTGCAGTTTTTTTTATGACGGTAACGATAACCAACTAAAAGCTGAGATTGAGAAGAAGTCATTTTTGAAAAATAAACAAAATCGTTATTATAGAAAATAACGATAAAAGTAACGGCGTTACTTCCGTCTCTACTTTTCTAGCTGCTAAATGAGCGATTATATAACCACACTGTAAGGTTATTTTTACTTTCAGGCAAGAGTAAAGTTTTTCATAATTCGGCAAAAATAGTCAAAATATTTTTACTAGTCTTATAAGATAAAACCATGTTTCTCTGTGCATTGTGTTGAAAAACATTTAATTTTACTATTACGAATGTTACGATCGTTTAAAAGCGGTAAAAGAAATTCAATTTAGTTTCAAGACGAATGCAATTTAAAGCATTTACGATAGTCGTAAAAACCACAAACTCTTGTTCGCAGTGAGTGCCACAATTCATCCGATCGAATCAAAGTTCGAGTGTGGGACGAGGACAACGACCTGAAGTCGAAGCTAAGGCAAAAACTGACGAGGGAGAGCGATGACTTTCTTGGGCAGACCATCATCGAGGTCCGAACTCTCAGTGGCGAGATGGATGTCTGGTACAACCTGGAGAAGAGGACAGACAAGAGCGCAGTGTCGGGCGCTATTCGGCTACATATCAGTGTCGAGATCAAGGGCGAGGAGAAAGTGGCACCTTACCACGTACAGTACACCTGTCTGCACGAAAATCTCTTCCACAGCCTGTGCGAAGAGAACGGCGGCATGGTGAGCTTACCTCAGGCGAAGGGTGATGACGCCTGGAAGGTCTATTTCGATCCTCCTGGCGAAGAGCTCGTCGATGAATTCGCCATGCGTTACGGCATCGAGAGCATCTACCAGGCGATGACGTGAGTGTCGAGGCTTTCGATGATCCATTCGTAATTAACCGTTAATCCAAGTCGTTATGTAAAAGCTACTAATTTTGACATATTACAAAAAGCAATTTATTCTCTTTATTAAATTAAATAGAAATTAACCTTTTGCAGACGGGCGTGCCCGTTTAAACATATTTTTTATTTTTTAAATTGCTAGTTTGATTTTTATGAAATTCGGTTTATGAAGCAATTTAAAATAATTTTATTAATTTTTGATAAAATATACTTTATTTTATTTTGAAATTAAAAATAAAAATTCAAAATGGTGAATCCATATAATAGAATATAATAGAAGTTCAAAAAATCTGGTTATTATAAAACTCAGCTTTTTAGAAAATTTTTTTTATTACAAAACAACATTAAGTTTTTATAGTTTTGTTTTAGTTAAAAGTCATTAGTGCTACACAAATAGTTAGTACTGATTTTCAAACTAACTTTCAAACTCTGATTATGAGTCCTGTGCCATTAGATCCTTCTTCACTAGAGGTTACTAACCTTTTGAACTTTGACATTTCTACACACTACATTCAAACTTAGCAGTATTAGGAACCTTTTAAAACCAAATTTCACTGTAATCAGATTATTTTTTGAAATTTAAATTTTTAATTAAAAAATTCTTAGAATATCACACACACACACCACGCGCGCACGCGCGCGCGCACACACACACAAATTCAGCTACCCGGAAACTCTTAGAAAATAAAACTTTTTTTTAGATTTTTTTGCTAGAAAGCTTCTCAAACGATTAAATAAAAATTCACTCAATAAAATTTGAGATTAAATTAAGACGCGATAACTCTGAACAATAGAAAGAATCAAGACGAATGGTTTTTCGATACGATTTTGTATTTTCCAGGCACTTCCACTGCCTCTCAACCAAGTACCTGTGTCCAGGCGTGCCGGCCGTTATGTCGACTCTCCTGGCGAACATAAACGCGTACTACGCCCACACGACCGCCAGTCCGGCCGTGTCGGCCAGTGATAGATTCGCCGCCAGTAACTTCGGGGTAAGTGCCGGATGTTGAAGATTGCGCCGTGGTATCTCCACCTCAAGCGTAGAAGAGTGAGGGATGGTGAATGCTGGAAACCGACGGCGAGAGAAGCGAGAGAAATACTCGTGCAATTTCCTGTCAGCTAGCGCTATACGTTATCCCCGAGCTACTTCTCATATCCTCGATGGTTGCGCGTTGACTTGCACAAGGACGCACTTTTCGACCCGATTCTCTATCAATTCCGTTTTCACCGGGTTACCAAGAATAAAAGGATCAGCCGACGCGAATATATATAACGTTGGTTAAATAATTACTTTGCAAACTTTTGAGAGAGATTAAACCAATTCTCTACCGAGAAGCTTTGAATAAAGCTTAAATCTTGGCAAATCGGTCATTTAACGGATTAAAATGGATTTCTTGCAAGAATCAGTAACTTAACTTTTCGTCGTGTTGATTGCAAAGAGCTGTAAAGTCTAACAATAAAACGAAAAATACTCGTATTTAACTCAAAAACCTGTTAAAAGTTACGAATCCATGTCTATGTTAAAGAATGACAAGATCACATCGTGTTTATGATTGCATTTTTTATTATCCCCTTAGCACACTTTTTGAAAGAAAGAAAAAAAATAGTAAAAAGACCTATACACGCTACTTAATTAAGATTTTAATTAAGATTCTCTTCGACCACACTCTTTTTCTACCATCTGTAGTTTAACCGACAAGGCCGAGCGAATGGATTTTCCTGCCGTGCGGAGAATATGGAAATTCTTTTCGCATACCACCACACGAATCGACGTTCTCGCCAGTTCCCATAAAACAGAGAACGATATGTGAACCAAAATTTTGCTCGAAATTTAAATTCGTAAATCTCTTAATTCTAGAAGAAAATTGATGTATATGAGAAAGTATGTTTCTTACGTTCTTGAATTATGCATAATGTTCCTCTTTGAAAATATTAAGCAAAACTTTCTGACTAAAAAGAAATTCAGTACGTCTAAAAATTTTCAAAAACTAAAAGAAAAAAGATTTGAAAAAGTTTCTTAGTGAAATATACAGATATTATGTTAGTAAAAAATTCTCATAATAAGGTAAGAAAATTGACTTATTTATCGACTTCAAAAAGAAAACCTTAGGTAGGAAAAAAAACCGTAACTATTATTACTGCATATCAGTATTGATAAAAGAAGCTAAAATAAGTGATTCTCATTGTAGAAAGAAAAATTCGTCAAGCTACTGGATCAACTGCACAACTCCCTCAGGATCGACCTGTCAATGTACAGAAACAATTTTCCGGCCTCGAGCCAGGAGAAGCTGATGGATCTGAAGAGCACTGTGGATCTGCTGACGAGCATTACGTTCTTCCGCATGAAAGTTCAGGAACTGTCAAGCCCACCACGGGCCAGTACCGTCGTGAAGGATTGTGTGAAGGCATGCCTGCGATCGACCTATCAGTTCCTCTTCGAGAACTGTTTCGAGATGTACAATCGAGAGTTCCAGGTAGATCCGATCGAAGCCGCGCGAGACATGGATGACCATGGACCGCGATTGGATTCGCTCAAATTCTGGCACAAGCTGATTTCTCTGATAGTCATGGTGAACGATGAGGACAAGAACAGCTATGCGCCCGTGTTAAATCAATTCCCTCAGGAACTCAACATCGGTCAACTGTCGTGTGCCACGACATGGTCCTTGTTCGCGGTGGACATGAAGTACGCTCTGGAGGAGCACGAGCAACATAGACTGTGCAAATCCTCAGACTATATGAATTTGCACTTCACAGTTAAGTGGTTGCACTCCACCTACGTCAAGGACGTACCGCCATATAAGGGCGCCGTGCCAGAATACCCGGCCTGGTTCGAACCCTTCGTCATGCAATGGCTTAATGAGAACGATGACGTCTCATTAGAATATCTCCACGGTGCCTTTAGTAGAGATAAAAAAGACGGCGTAAGTAACACATCACTATTTTATCCACGAATCTCGATACAGTAACATTCTTTAATGATTCTTCAATCTTTTTTATAGTTCCAAAAGAGCAGCGAACATGTGCTCTTCAGTGTCTCCGTTGTCGATATTTTCACACAACTGACGCAGTGCTTCGATGTAGTATCGAGGCTGGAGTGTTCGGATCCGGAAATCTGGAAGAGATACATGAAGAGATTCGCGAAGACTATCGTTAAAGTCCTGTTGGCTTATGCGGATATAGTGAAGAAGGAATTCCCTAGCCATTTGAAGGAAGAACGAATTGTATGTGTTCAAAAGAAACAATTTTCTAAAATTCGAGCTAAATTGTTGGTAGATTTTACTACAAATTGTTTTATTCCACAGGCGTGTATTCTAATGAACAACATTCAACAACTTCGGGTGCAATTAGAAAAAATGTTCGAGTCGATGGGCGGTGACAAGCTAGAGGAGGACGCGGCGAATATATTGAAGGAATTGCAACAACAACTGAATGGAGCTTTAGACGATTTGGCTATACAATTTGCGAACAGTTTAGAACCGCGAATAACTGTTTCTGTTAAAGAGTTAGGAGACCTTTTATTGGCTATTAAAGGCGGAGGACAAGTAACTCTATCGCAACCGGCGCAAAGAAACAACGTAACCGTAGAAGCCGACGATGTTCTGAGGCCGCTCATGGTTCTGCTCGACGGTAGCCTATCTTTGTATGCTGAATCGTGCGAAAAAACGGTACTGAAGAGACTATTGAAAGAACTTTGGAAGATAGTCATGAGAATTTTAGAAAAGACTGTTGTTTTACCACCTATGACGGATAAGAACGTACGTATTATAATCAAATTTTTTTGAAAAAAAAATTGATAGAATTTTATTAAGTGGCATGAATTATGATTTATAATTCTTGTTTTTTTAGATGATGTTCAAGAATCTGACGGATAACGCTAAGAATCTCGCTGCGAATGCCAAGATAGAAGATATGTCGAAACTGTTTAAGAACCATATGGCTGGGAAACCTGATGTTAAAAATGCTCTCAGTGGAGTTATGGTAATAGAAATACACTATTCAAGTCGTAAAAATTATTTGAATAAATTAAATAACTTAAATTTCTGAAGAAAATTTGCTCATGAATAAGCGTTCTTACTTATTCAGGATATCTCCAAGGAAGTGGAGAAGAATCTTTCACCGAAACAGTGCGCAGTTCTCGAAGTTGCTCTGGACACGATCAAACAGTACTTCCACGCCGGCGGTAATGGTTTGAAGAAGACGTTCCTGGAGAAGTCCCCGGAACTGCAGAGCCTCCGTTACGCTTTGAGCTTATACACGCAGACAACGGACACTCTCATCAAGACCTTTGTCACTTCACAAGTCAATCAAGGTACGTCGCTTCGAGTTTATCATTCTTATTAAAAATTTATAAAGTGTAAAAATATAATAACTATTATTTTTATATGTGTTTCTTGCTAAACAAAAATCGCGATAAAAGCGAGGTTACACATGAATTACTTAATCAGGGATATAAATAAATTAATTAGACACAAGCGATATATTAATTTTAATGACACACATTACACGTTTCATCCTACAATTATCGCGCGAGGAATCGGTATATATCGGCGTGTGTGCATATTTACACTCACATTACGACGTAATAAAAATTGTCGGGACAGTGCCACTGAACGATGCATCAACGCTACGTCAGCGTCAGCGTTCGATGAGCAGCGAGAGGGGTGACGAAGGGGAAGGAGCCGAGGGTATGGAAAGCCTCGAGGAACCCCTTCGCCAGAGCAAGCCCTCTCTTCGTCGAGAGAGCCGACAAGGTATCACCAGAACAGACCTTAGAACTTAGAAGGTCGCTGGAAGTGTCGGAGAGACTTTTTAGGCCGTAGTGAACTATTTGATCGTTTCGTCGAGACGTTTCTTTCGATGCAATTTATCTTCTTTTTAATTTTTCCATATATTTTTTAACTAGCAATTTTACAATAAATCAAAATAATGCGGTTTAATAAATACAAAGAAATAGTCGTCAATACGATATCTTTTAAATCTTCGTGTTCTTGTCAATTTTGTACACTCCTAAAGAAGACAAATGTTTTAAAAACGTCTCGACAACGATAGCTATGTTAGGAAGCTGTGCTGTTATCACTGCCGCTGCTGCTACTGCCGCCACTCTTGCTGCTACTACTGAGAACTTTATCGATCAGCAAAATGCCTCTTTTGGCCTCATAGTCTTTCCAATACAATGCTTCTGACACATACACATATCAAGAAAACTTTGTGTTGTTTAACTATTAAATCACCATACACGATCTCCTTATAAACGCGTGATACACTCATCTAGCGTCACATTATTCCTCCGAACACTTGAAGGAACGAACACTTAAAGAAAGGATTCACGGATTGATTGATCTATCGATCGATCGTCTGCACCATGGACACTTGTATTATACGCACTAAATTTTTGGAGAGTGTGACTAAAATTCTCCGAATACAAAAAAAAAAAGATTAATTCTTTAAAATGTAAAACCAATAAAATCAGCAAATTTATAATTCTTGGCACATACTATGTGACTAAATCGTGAAAACTTCGTAGTGGCTGACTTCGTCTTCTCTGATAATTACGCTGACAACAAATACCTAACCTGCCTATTATCAGAGCATGTAATCTGCTCTAGAAATAGAAATAAAAAATAGATTCTCTTAGCCTTAGTTTCAGATCATAGCATCTCAGATAGAATCAGACGAAGTCCGCGTAGTGTCTAGATGTCATTCTAGCTTTATGACCTCCGTACTCGAGCATAAATTTTAACTGTGAACTTTTCAAGTTCCAGATACCGCCGGTTCGGACGAGGGTTCAGTGGGCGAAGTGAGCATCCAGGTGGATCTCTTTACACATCCAGGAACGGGAGAACAGAAAGTCACCGTCAAAGGTATGATTATCATAAAATTTGTAAAATTATACAACTGTGATAGTTAATAATGCTAATTGATAATTTATTTGCCGATAATTAAATTTAAAAAAAATCTTTTACTTTTTTAGTTGTGGCCGCGAACGATCTTAAATGGCAATTGGCGTCAGGCATGTTCAGACCGTACGTTGAGGTGAATCTAATCGGACCGCATCTTACTGGCAAGAAGAGGAAACAATCGACGAAATCAAAGAGTAATAACTGGTCGCCGCAATTCAACGAGAGCTTTGACTTGTAAGTTTCGACGCAAAATTTTATTTATCAATAATCACTAACATCTTCGCAGACACAAAGTTTCTTTAACTTTTGCCTTATCTTCGTTCTCAGCATGATCGGTAACGAGCAACAACAGTTAGACTTCTACGAGTTGCATATCTGCGTGAAGGATTACTGCTTCGCGAGGGAGGATAGACTCGTTGGTGTCGCGGTGATGCAGCTTAAGGACATCGTCGAGGAGGGTTCTTGCGCGTGTTGGTTGTCACTCGGCAAGCGTATCCAGATGGACGAGACCGGCTGGACGATCTTACGCATTCTCTCACAACGCAACAACGACGAGATCGCCAAAGAGTTCGTTAAGCTGAAGAGCGACATCAGGCAGGAGACACTGCTACCGAATCCTACTTGAGGAGATACGACATTATATTAATAAGCCGATAGCGAAGCGATTCGAGTACTTCGAGCTTGGAAAGAGCCCGAAGAGGAGAAGAAAAAAAGAGCAGAAAGAAAAGGAGGAAGAGAAGCAGGAGGCCGTCCAAAGAGGGTTAGCATTTGATGCCTTCGGTGCCACAAGCGAACGAAACCTTTCACGATTCCGCGAGAGAGAGTAATTCGCACGATTTATCCGGCGAAAACGATTGCCTCAAACCCTTCCGCCCTTCTTCACTGAGAGGCACATGACCTAGGAAGGGACAATCCTAGCAACGGGATTTGATTTACCGCGAAGTTTCTTCTCTCCATCTTTCCTCGCGCTGTGGAGTTCAGTCGAGCGTAATTCCTCTCCCTTTTTTACGAGACTCATATGTATACACACACACACACACACACACACACATACACATACACAAACACACAAAGTTTTAACCCCGTCCCTGGACAGCGACGACGCACCGGGAACTATTATCATCTTCCACAGAATCGAGATAGAACGACGAGCTAGGTCAACCCCGCATGACTTGGCGTTCATCCTGCGTACTATTACAATAATGAAGAAAGGGTGATTCCTCCCTCCTGCGTTTAAAGAGCTAAAATAATCAGAGGAAGCGGAGCTGGCCACGAGGCTCCGGTACTTACATAAGACACATCGGACTCTTCTTCGTGGATGTGTCGTAGGCGTAACGCAGAGGGAGACGAAGATACGAAGGAGAGAGTGTTCGCTAGACAAAGACGTGAAACGTGAAAACAGTGCTGCCAGTACGCAATATATTTGATAATATTCGTAACGTAAGCTAGGACGAGAGATTAACATCGCGAAGAACTCGTAAGTACGGTGCTTCGCGCAGAAGGCGACAAAAACTCTCTCGATCGGACGCGCCGCCGTTCGCCGAAAGACTGACTTCGAAATGGAAGATGACGAAAAGCGAGTCCACATGTGATGGGTCCTTGATCGCGACGCGGCCGCATATGCTAGAGACACAGGACGAAGTCGATGCGTACATGAAACCGCGAAGTTTACGTGCCACGCATACATACACATTCACACATACGTTTACACGCGCGCAATTTACGACCGCGTCGTTTCTAGGCCGTTTGTTCGGGAGGACGAGTTTACTGTAGATACGTGAAAACATTGTTGAGACGAAGAAGTTTTTTCTAAATATACAGTTTAAATGTAGCATTGCGTACGACCAAATAGGCACGCCCTGTGACGTGACGCAGCGGCGTGCCGTTAGTAATAAAAACAGAAAAAAGTTAGTAAGGCATTGTAATTGTAAATTACGTTCTTATTCGTAAGATTATACCAGAAATGATCGTAAGAGTCTGACTGTTGCTGATGCTGTTGCGAATGATGTCGAGATCCGCCCGAAAGCTTCCGAGAGTTACACAAAAGCAGCGTAACTATTTCAGACCGTTTGCGAGCGGAAGATGTACACGCGTTGTGCCTCCAGAAGTCGCATATTAACGTAACAGAGGCAGGCCCGACACGTTGCAAACGCAAATCCTCGTTCTATGAATTGGCGAGCGAGCGAGCCTACAAAATTGAACTTTACACTCCTGTAATTAGTGCTGTCAGTACTCGGATATCTGAATACTTCGAGTATTATTTGAGTGTGACCTGCAGTTACTTTGAGATACTACCAAAATTGTGAATTAGATAATATTCGAGCTATCCGAGTAATATCCGTAAACTTCGACAGTGCTACTTGTAATCTTGTAGCACGCGCAAGTAATTATACCATAGCTTTTGATTCCTCTTTAGCAATCGCTGTTTTTTACGGCAACGCCTACTTCAGAATACGACACGAGGTGCACTGGACTATTATTATTATAGTACAACTACTACTATCGTCTAGCTTCAGCGTGTCTTGTTCATCTTGTCTCGTGTGCATAGCGGACGTTCGCCTGTCCGTAGAAACATCTACTGCGTTCTCGTCGATCTCTCTTATCGGGAACTCGTATCGGGCCAGCGGCGAAAGTGGGTGGAAAACGATCGGGACTCTCTTCGCCACATCTACTACGATCGCACGAAGCTTCGGTCGGATCCTTCCGTGAGAGAAACTCAAAGGCACGTGACCTCGTATCCGATGAATCCAGTTATCGTCCAGCCCAGGGCTGCAGAGTCGGGCGGGGCAGGTACAACACAACTCCGGAGATTATATTCGCTATTATATTCAAAAGTTTCTACTACGTAGTACGTCTAGATTATACTTACGTATTGTGTATAGTGTCTAAAACTGCTGATGTAGCTGCGAGAGCGGAATTTTCGATCGACAGATAGAGAAAGAGAGGCGAGAGTTATTTAAAAAGTGAACGATTATTTCAGCTGCAGGTGCTTATCAAATTTGAGTACATTGAAGCATCAGGTTATGTATGAATGGAATTCTATGAAACAATACACAAATCCACTTCTTTAGAAGAATTTATGAAAATTAATCTTGATATTAAGAAAAATAAATTAAACATTAATGAATCAGGAATTAATTTGTATTCGCTAAGTTTAGATTTTTTAATTTATTTAAATATTTTCAAAAAGAGAAAAATGAGATATCGAATACGAATTTTTCCCCAAAGATATCTGAAATCTCTCCTATTAGATTGTTTAACTTCCATTTCAAGGAGATCAATTTATGAAGCACCTGCATCTGTATCTGTCGTTGATGATTTCGGAAAAATTCAAGCTGAAGAAAATAAAAACACGGGTCCGCGATCTCGCTACCATCTTCATTTGTAAAAGTGTAAAAGTGTCTATTTTCTCCGCTGCCTAACACTAAGTACTTAATACGAAAGGGCTGGCGAATTCGGCACTCAGATCGGCCTCGTCGACGGGGACTCCAGACGATTACCTCGATACTCGTTCCTTCGGTCGCAGATCCACCGCGACCGTCGACGGGGTCGGCCGTCAATTTTTCCTCCTACTCTCCGCTTCGATTAATATCTTGTAAGCTTAATGAAAATATCTCGTGTATTCTGTGATAATTACCCTTTAAAGAAAACACTGACATGCTACACCTTACACGCACAAGAAACATATACACGTACACGTACGAGGGAAGACCTGCAGACGGAGTCCGCGTATGCGGAAGGTAGAAATTGTATAGAAATTTTGGAAACACAGATAACAAAAGAATAGATGCGACTACAACATTACACCGATCCTAAACATAGCAACAGTATTTTTCTTCTTTAAATACATTCCTATATTTCTATTCTCTGTAAACGTCCGAGGAGTCTTGTCGCGCGATAATAATTAACGAAAGAAAAAGAAAGAGAGAAATATATATATATATTACATATATATACAGACTGATTCAGACTCGTCTGCACTTCTTTCATCTATTGATTCCGCGACCAATTTGCAGTTGATTTTTCCTTAGCGATAATTTTATCCTTTTTATCCACAACTTCCTAATATTATAAATACGTCTAAGCCTCAAATAAAAATACTATGAAAGTAAAATTCGCTTCGAATTGAATAAAGATTAAGGCTCCGTTATCTCTACTGCTCGTTGAAATTCTTAGACTTTTTACCATCTTACAGTTTAAAACTTATCGCTGCCTTAACATTTTTTTCGTTAAGGAAAAATATTCGAAATTGATCGTAGAATCCGTAGATGGGCGAAACCTGGAACATCCTGTGTATCGCATCGACAAATCGTAACTTTTCATCCGCGATATTATCAGCTGTAAGAAGATACAAATGTGAAGATACAGAACGCAAAAGTATATAGAGCATAACGATACAAATGCTTTTAACTTCTACTAATTGAACCTAAATGAAAAAGAAACAGCAGACATTCGACAAACTCAAACAAAAATAAGAAAAAAATTACATAAAAATTTATGCTTAAATCATTATTATCTTAACTTTTTTATTTTATATAATTTTATATTTTTCTCAGTCTTCTGAGCGATAATTTCAATTTTAAATAAATAAGTTTTTATGTTTGATATTTCGGTCGGAATAATTCAGAATCATCTTGAAAGATCAAAGGCGAGTTATCAGCAAATCAATCCGTTATTTTCTGGTTTCTTGGTGTAAAAGAATTGTTCAAAGAGTAAAGTATTTGCTTTTCGTTCGCATCAAAGGGAGATTCCTATAAGTGATCGCCGCAAACATTTGCGTCCGACGAAAACGTAGAAAATCACGATCAGAACTTTTAAGACAGACTCCAGATCGCTAAACGAGCGAGATATACATTTTTTTAGCAAGAACAGAAAGATCACATAAGGGAAATTAAGGAGAGAAAACAAAAGATATATACAACTGACAATACTATGCTTGGAAATCGTATTGACACATATGTAATGTACCTAATAAATATATAAAACAAGACGGGATGTTTGTGTTTCGTAAATAAAAGCGTATTAAGAGTAAACTCGTAATATAGGCGCGAGGAGGCACGATGGACTCGCGCGAAACGCGGAACGCGTAACTTTTGCGCGTATCATCAGCGCGATTTATTAGGTAATTACGACTAACGAGTGAAGAGAAGAAGCAAGCTTCGTCGTCTCACGGAAAGCGCCGTTATTGTCGAGAAAATTTTTCGAGAAAAGGAGAATGAAAGCGAAAGAAGGAATTAAAGATAGAGAGAGAGAGAAAGAGATTTCGATGACACGTCGCCGCTATATGCAGGCCGCGAGCGTGCAACAAGCTGACCCAAAGCAATTGTATCCGAGTATGAAACACGCACATTCGACACGAAAAATACCTGCGTAGAATATCCCGAGTACCTAATCTTCATCGATAAACGTTTCGTTTGTTCACTCATCACACCGACGCGTTGTTCTCCAGCGAACTTGATGCACATAAATGTATATAACACAAATTGTATACACATGTGTACGTGCATACACAAACACACACATACACATATAAAACACATACACGTGGGATAGCGCTTGTGTGACTCCATAATCACACGATCGAATTAAGCCCCGAACGCACGTGCCGTCGTTATACGCTTCTCATCTCCGAAAACGGATCATTGTCATTATTGCCATCATCATCGTAGCGAACGACGATCGCCCGATGAATACCAGTGTTGTCCTCGTAATCGATTCGACATTCCGCCGTACCGGACGGCGATTGTGCGGTTTGAGTAAGCGCGAGTTGCCTCTCGAAATCCTGACAATCCTGGTGACATCAATGCATAGCGAGATACGGTTCACGGAGAATGTCGGCTAGCATCAATCGCACCGTTCAACTAGATATAGAGATCCATATATACAGTATGACTTGCCTCGTTTTAAGGATATATCGTGCATCATTCATTAATATCGTGCCGCACGTAGTTAGCGAATAAAAATTAAAGACGTGAGTCTCTTCCTTGGGTTATAAAAAATTCTATTTCGTATACGTTGAAGAGTTATCGATTCTAACGATGATTCGTTAATTGTTTCATGTTAATACTAAAGATCTAGCTGTCGTATATGGCTAATATCGAATTGACGGCGTTCTCGCGGCGTATTTAGTGTAAATACGATCGCCTGAATCTCGCGTTACGTTGACGTTAAAAAGGCGACCTGGTATTAGGCAAAGTAAAATTTAAACGAACGATCGTATTTCCAGACTATAATAAATCGTGAGAACACGATTCCGTCTGTTTATTATTTACATTTATACATTCAATGAGTTCGTGCATACATTTAGAGAGTAATCGAGTGTATACGGATGGAATTCGAAGAGAAATGTGGTATAAAAGCGAGGAGACAAGGGTTTTAAAATCCGATTAGTTAGGTAATTATGGGGAGACATTATATAGTTAAATGAGAGAGAAAGAAAAAAGAGAGATAATCGAGAGAGGGACCTATTAGAGTTATATCATCGTTAAATCATTGCACACGCATACGCACACACCACGTGTCATATCATCGCATTATATATCAGAGAGAGAGAAAGAGAGAGAGGGGGGAGAAAGAGAGAGACAGAGTTTAAATACTATTAATTTTAAGTCGTAGCTAAATATATGCGGTTGTATACATATGCGTAAATATATATATATATATACAGCGTGACGGAATCACGCGGGTGGAAATCCGGCACGTGTACAGCATTCGGTTTGACTGTGATTCCTTGCTGGTCTTTATTCGAGTAATACGACATTGATATACGATATGTACATGATACATATACGATATGACGAGAAGAGGCGAATGAACGAATATGGAGAGATAAAAAATTATATATCATTGAATTTGGATAACTAGCGATATTCCCGTTCGGCAAACATTAAATTCGTAAGCGAGCACTAAAAGACGATTGTCTCGAAAGAGTAGAAATAATAACGCCTTCCTTGTTTGTTCGCCTCTTCAAACGTACTTGTGCGTGAGCGAACGCAATGTTACGAAATAGAATTCGTGCTGCTACTCGGATATCGACCGACACTATATATATTTACTCGCGATAATAATTATTTCGGCTCGGACGGAGACTTCGTGGTTTCCGATTCGATTAGGAAGGCGAGGGAAAGATCGTTAGTGCGAAACCTTGGTCATTCAGTCGTCATCGTCATCATCATGATAAGCGAGTCACACTCGCGTCGTCACGTTGACACCGCACGAAGCGTCTGTTCGCCGTTGCCCAACCGAGAATATCCCTTCTAATCTAATTTTTTTTTTTTGCATCGACAGTACACACGCACGTGTAAGATATTATCGCATCTCGATCGTGTAATCACAGAATATATTGCACATACAATTGCACATATTATATACATATTTACAAGTGTGTATATACATTATATATACATATATATATATATATATATATACATGGTCATGATCGCGATCCGTGTTGCTGTCTCGATCGCAGTAAATTTGACTATTATCATTTTCACTTTATCTTTCCTCGAGCGATATTTGAATCTATTCTAAAAACATATCTAAAACTCAGAGAAAACATACTTTTCCGCCCATTTTCACCATAAATGATATTTTAAGAGTCATATTATATATTATTATACAGGATGTCTCGTTCTTTAAGCGCGCTTCCTTTAAACTGCAAATTGTTCTCAATCAAAAAATCTTAAGTCGATGTTGCCTTTACAAGAGCATCTTACAAAGAATTGAAAATGAAGGGCTTTATAAAAATTTAAGAATCGCGACAAAATTAATATACTTGTCATGTGTTATGTAAAGTCATATTCTACAGTTAGTTTTAAGTTAATTTTATTCGGATAGGATTTTTTTTAATTTAAAATTTATACAAGTATACGATATTGAAGATTGAAGGGATGATAATACAAATATGCATTAAGACAAAAATTAAAATTAAGTAAAAGATTTTTTGGGCAAAGGGCATGCAGTTCGGGAAATTACGCTTAAGGAAAGATATCTTGTGCAAATATACACAGATTGTTTATTATTGTATCATAAATTGTCTATATATATCAGCTTTACTACAAATACTACTTCGCTAAACATCTAAAAGGAAAGTGGGAAAGATCCCAAGGAGAAATCCCGAGACAGCCACGGAGCGGTGACTTTCCGAATGCCCATTATCCCATTGAAATTACCCCCTCCCCCCATTCCATAAAAATTCTGACGTTCCACACGCATTTTCGCGCCTCTATGTGTTACCATGGTCTTGTCTTCTTTTTAGCTAAACTTCTTGTATTGTCCATTTTGTATTGTTCAATTTCTTCAATTTTTCTTCAGATTAAAGAAAAAAGAAGAAAAGGTGAACCATGCAAAAAGTTCAGCTAAAAAAAAAGCAGGCTTTATATCTGTTACGATTAGAGTTGTCAGATTTAATACCAATATATTTGGGACATGTCTTTGAGGCAATATTTGAATTAAATTTTCAGGTATAAACTACGGTCCATGTGGTTTATGTGGGAATAGTAACTAAAAATTTAAAATTTTAATATATTATTAAATCTCATAAAACCGTACAAATGAGAACACAACCAATAGGAAATAAACGCCTTTTAACGGTCTAGCTGGATCTTAAGTGCTTGTATAATTTTGTGCGAATTTAAATAATTGAATAATCCATTTTTCAAGTCAGACATGTCTCGGGAATGTTGATATAACATCTAACAACTCTACGCTACGCCGTGTTTGACTTCTTTTATTCCCCTTTTTTGTCTTGCGCAAATAAAAGTAAACGCAGGTAAACGGCTTGAGCGAGAAGTAAAGCGAATGAGAATATTCACACACCCCAATCTTTTTCTGAACAATTTTTCATGGGAAATAATTCTTCAAAAGAAAGAGACGAAATACATCTTATTTGCCATTTTTCATGTATACTCTTGTTGCGGTGTCGCAACAGAAAAAAGAAACAGAAAAGTGAAACTAGAAGTATTCCGACCTCTTCTTGGGATAATTGTACATAAAAAAGAAAAATATTGTTGTAAAGTACTTCAGAATACATTTCGTTGACATTGTGTTAGTGTATTAAAAATGACGGAGACGATTTGATAAAATTGATTGCGTTGCGTTACATCGTCGTTATATACTTCCGCGTTGTAAATGTTTTTTAAAAAAATCACGTTGCCTATGGTAAAGTTGTTTATGTCGCGAGGAGGAATCGTAGCGGTTGCATTTTGCCCGAACTCTGATCTTCGAAAAATCTCGTCGATTTTCGAGAAACGATTCTGTCAACATCGTTCAATGTAATAGCAAGTGGTTGTTTATTTCTAAATAATAACGTAATATGTAGAATAATATGTATAATGGACATAATGTAGTTAATTTTAAGTAAAGCTGTTAAATCAGGTTGGTAGAATCGATTCGAAAATGCGAAGACGAGTTTGTATAAACGCTCGGACGATCCGGTGCAGCCGTTATGGTGCCTCTAGCGATTCTGTAAAGTATCGAAATTTTACGATTGACGTCCTAAGAGAAAAAGTAAACGAGTCACACGTTCGATATGACAATTCTTAATTTCGCATTTCCCCACCCGTGGTCCGTTCGCACACTTCTCTCGTTCCTCGTTTTTGCGATCAATGTACCATATCCGAAGGGTGCTCTTAAAATGGAATAGCGAAACGAAAAGTGAAAGTGAAACTTGCAATGTATTAAGACGGTGCGTACCGTTGAGCGAGGGGTAGAAAGGATGGCTTTCTTATTAGGATAAGCTGCCTCAGGGGAAGGTAATCCAGGGACTCTAATAAACTTATCCGAAACTATTTGCCTCTGAAGTTATTCCATATTCTGTATCCATGATCTTCCTTTGTTCCATCTTTTATAATATTTTTCATGTAAAGCGACTAGATTATATTAAATCAAATTGAAATTTGCAAGCTAAAATATTTTAGAATACTCTCTGACTCTCTATTCCCACACATGTTAAGATAACATACTTTCGTAAGTATTAAAATATTAGAATCCTTTCTCCATAAATAAAATTACTTTTATATTTTTTATCAACAAAACTTCTATAACAAAAATTGAAAATTTGGTATATATAACATAGCCGAAATTTCTCAGAAACGCTGAAGTAAAAATATCTATCATAACACCATTGTGCTACTCCAAATCATAACTATTATAGGAAATAGATTTATCAAGCAACAATGAGTATTTTTTATTTGATGATAAGTCGACATAAGTATTGTTTTGCTTTTGTTTCTCATGGTATACTAAGATACAATGTTTGTGTCAACTTGTGTTACTAAATGGAAAGCATTCAAATATGTAAAAATATATAAATAGGTTGTTTTATGTTTTATGTCCTTTCGTGATTTCCTTAAATTCTAATTTAAAACACAGATAACATTATTATAAATTAATATAATATTTAATATACTTATTTATTACTACATTTTCCCAAGGAAAAAGACATATATGTTCACTGTACAATTAAAACAAAGATCCCTTAAGGTAGAAATACATCTTTAGGCGGAGTCATAGTTTTCCTGCACTCCTCTGCAAATGCAACCTCTCTCTGTAATAATAAATAATAATCATGACATCTTCACTTACATCGAAAGTACTTAAATAAATAGTAAAATGATTTCATGTATAATAATATCGATCGATTTTAATTTCAAACAAAATAGTCCTCGAGTTAAATGGTGCTTTCCAGTAAGAGGCACAGTGTAATATAATGATCATTTCATTTTTGTTTAATTTAACATTTGCAAACAAGGATATTCACTACGTTACATCAATTACTTTTCTCTTTTACAAAATTGATTTGAAATTAAATAAGTAATTTGTACTCAGATAATTACATCACTACTTGCTTATTTTTGTAACAAAGTTATTGCATAACAATACAAGTTTTAAAGCCTCAATTTAATGTAAATTAACAAGACTCAATAAAGTACATAGTCTCAAGCTTGTGTTGATTGTAAATAAAATCTTAGTTGAATCTCACACGTAAGAATGAAAAAAACATGCATTTTAGGGTTATGACACTTATGACGTTACAAATAAAAACGATTTGAGTTTTGATATAAATGGAAAGCACTGTCTCTTGCTGGAAAGCATCCAAAATTAAACTGACTATCGTTGGAGAAATCTGACGTAAGCTCAGGAACTTGAAATCACAACAATCGCAAAGGTTACCTTCACCAAATCTTTATCTGGTATTCTGGGATACGGACCAAATGGATCTCTCGCTCCCCACCACCAATCGGTGGCTATATAAACGTTCAATTGTACCATCAGTAATATAGCAGTGATATTGGCCAATGTCCGCATTATTTCCAAGCAAAAGTCGAAGAATCACGAGATAACCAAATTAATTTGTGTTCGAGATCAAAACGAACTTAACCTCTCACGTCAAAATAACAGTGACGCCAATAAAATTATCATTTACTGGAAAAATTCCTAGATGACACGCAGATGATCAACAAATTTTATGAAGTCTGTCAAAATTTGCACAATGAAAAATTGCTATCGTTCTTCGAATCAATAAAATCAATTTTGCTGGCATTTTTATTGATTTTAGTATCGGAATGTTGAATTCTATCGAAATATCAGTGGCTAACTTCACAGCTCACTCTTCCCCACTCGTAAAAGTAACCAGTCATGCGCACTGAATAAACTCCGCAGTTGGGTGTGTGCGCGCGTGTGTGTGTACGTGTTGCGTGCGCGGCTACTTTTTTGCATATGTATAAACACGGTATTTTACTGTACGATGAAATAATCTAACGAATTTCCTTATCGGTGCCTGCGTGAGTAAGCATTTTAATTTGTAGAAAGAGATCTCATCGAATTCTCGTGCACTGTTACGAGGAGAGAAGAGTTAATAACGAACTTGATTGGATGGATTGAAAATGCATTCAGTGTGCACGATATACATTAAAACTAGAGAAAAATATGTGTTTAATATAAATACAAAAACGGATTATAAACTATGAAAGCCTCAATGCATCTCATTGTACTGCAAAGTAAAATGTATTTTATAATTTGAAATATTAACATTTTACTTTTATACAAAAAAGATTTTTCTCAGAACTAGTAAGAGATAAAGTTATAGTTGAATCATAGATTAAAATTTAAATTACACTGATAGAAAATGGGCATAAATCAGTAATAAATCTGGACGTAAAAATATAATTCTTTTTTCCTAAAATGGAAACGTGAAAAATAAAAATTTTTTGTATGATGTGTGCACATACATACATGTATAAAAAAGTTTTCACTTTTTACATTTCCGTGTAGCAAAAAAATTACATGGTTAACTTTCCGTTGCTTGCACTTTTTACACTCAACACTTTTTGCTTTCTCTCTTTTCAACGTTCAAACATAAATATATAAATATAATTACGAAAATGTTTTAAGTAAAAAAAAAAGATAAATTATAATGTAATTATACATAATATAGGCTGAATATTTTAATTTTTCACTTAACCATTTTCATAAATTATTAGCACACATATATATAGGTCTATTCGGGTTGTTTGAAATCCTTAAAAATTTCTGGACATAAAATGAGATACATTGGGGCGTCGAAAAGAAAGAAAGCGAAAATGCTGAATGCAAAAAGAGCAACCAACGCGAACAGATCTTATCTCACTTTAAGAGACTTTTAAGCAACAATTTTTCGGGGATTTTAAGCTACGCGAACAGACCTGCTGTACAATTGCTTTAATATGCACTTGTAGCTTGTAGTACGTCCAATCGAATTCGCTATAAGTCTGCGCTGCGCCAACAGGTGGCGACAACGAAAAAAGAACGTAATTTATTGGCTCATTGCCCTGATTCTCTATATATTAATTATTAAAAAAATATATTTTTTAATATAAATTTTTAATATATTTTTAATATAAAAAATATATATTATAATTCTGTTTTTCCTACTATTGAGATGAATGTTGTATTATTTTTATAATGAGTATTTAAATTACTTATTTTATACAGATTAGAATTTTTTCTGTTACTTTTTATGTAATACGTAAATTGAGAATAAGTAAAGATTAAAGAAAAGGTATAAGTACATTTTTTTATTATGATTTCTCTTTTATTTGCTATGGAGTTGTTTTCGGTGTGTATTACAATTAGAACATTTTTTTTATTTCCAATTTTATGAAATTTCTTAAAATAAAAAGTTACCGCTTTAAGTTTCAAATCTACCGCTTTTTCGGCGTACCATTTACCGTCCAATTTTCCAACTATCTGGCAGTACGTAGTCGATCGTTGGCCGTCACCGCGTGAAGACGGCGAGGTCGTTCTTGGTTCGATTCGACTGTCGGGTTATCCGGTCGCGACGTGCATTGGTCGACGGCTCTTCCATAAGCCCCGCCTATCAGGTGGCCGTTCGAAAGTGTGTAATCGTGTTTCCTTGCGCCAAAACGACAGGCGCGCTGCTCTCATCTATTCTACCGGACTTTCAGCGTTCAGTTTGAGATGAGTCGCGTCGGCGCGGGCGCGGTAATATGCGACGGTTGAGAAGAATCGGAGCAGGTAGGAAATCGTGAGCGCGCACGAGGGTGCTTTGCCATTAAACATCATCATTCACGGGGTGGTGCTTACGCTGCGGCATCGTATCAGGGGCGGGGGGGGGGGGG